TATACGGAATGAGGAAAAAGGGATTGATAATTGATTTTTAATTTTCCTATCAAGCTACAAAATGATTATTTGGCCACAGAAGATGAAAGCAAACTTACCAAGAGAAGGAGCATGGCTYAGTACCCACTGAAGGRCAGTGTAGTAGTCAGCATATACAATAGTGACATCAGGGTACTCCTTCCTCAGCTGTTTCAGTGCTCTTTGGAGGTTATCATTGTGAAACATTGCCAAGTTATTCAAGCCTTTCAGGCACTTGAGTTCATCATAAGCTGCTGGGTCATCACTTCTAAAAGCTGTGAGATAGATTGGCATGCATCCTATTGGGAAATTGCCTGGAACGATCACTGTTCGTGCACCAAGATCTATCACTTTCTGCAAACAACATGAGACGATAAAGCTTGAGCAATAATATTTCAACTAAGTAAAAACTAATCAATCAAGATTACAAATTAAAGAACCTTTGCTTGGAAATATAAAATGGTAATGTTGAGGAGGTAGACTAGAGACTTACTCTAACAGCATCCTTGATTTTCTGGAGGATATAAGGCACAWAACTCTGAATCTCTCYTATKGTTTTTCCTTGAAAGAATGCATAGTTATAGTCATTCCCTCCAATCTCTCCCACTAGAAATAAGGCCTTTTCGAGCTTGTGGGCACACTCTAAACAAAGATCAAAGAAAATAGGCAATTCAACAACTGAAACTAAAGAGTAATCTTCTTAATTAGAACTGTAACTGTGGTATAATTGAGCAAATTTAAATCAAGCGTTCAATGTGACATACCTGTATTGGTGTAGCAGATGGATTTTAGATGGTCTTYGAACCAACCAAGTTGGACTGAGAGAGAACTGTTGGTGACTGGAGGTACAATTTTGTTTTTTGCAAGGAARGATGTGTCAAGTGCTGTAGACCCAGCCACTGCAAAGTTCACACCATGACTGAAGTCGGCATCCCTTGCCAAGTAAGGGTTAAGAAAAGGGAGATGGAGGGCCGAAGCTGCAATACATACAAAGAAGAAATAGATATAGAATCAGAATTTTAATGGATTGCTGATGATTGTCATGAGCAATGGTAACTCTTTCTTTTTGACAGAGAGAGAGAGAGATTATTGTAAAGAACAATTTATGAACAATATAATAAAAAAACTGACGTGGTGATTAAAAACAGAAAAGGACCAGTCCAGTTGTCTGGACCACATATATACAATCTAAATCGGGTCTGACTCTGACCCAATTGACCCAGCTTACACCCTTACCAATCCTGTTCTAAAGGAAACTTACACAAGCTGGGTCGAGATTATTATATATCCTCTCGTGATTCGTGAAGCAAAACAGAAACTAGGAACGAGATAAATAATAAAAAGAGCCCAATAAAGAAATATCAAAGAAATCATAATAATAAAGAATTAAAAATCTTCTCGGTTATATCCAAAAGAAGCTAATGAAAGGAGAGAACCAACTACTTGTGATCGATTACCAAGAAAGATGCGAATGAAGAACTAATTCAAAAGAAAATATAAGAYGGTAGCCAACTACTTCTGATCGATGCTGCACTAATCATTGAGAAGGCATAAAAAGAGAATTTTAGATATAAAGAATAATTACCGAAGAAGTCAACCATAAGAAGGCCATTAGAGCAACGACCAG